ATTTGTTGTCGTTTGATGTACTGAATCAGCGACAGAGTCTGGTGTTTAGCACTGATGCGTATCTACTGTGTGCCCTAGAAAAGCATGACCTTCTAACCTGTGTAGTCCAAACCCAAGGAGAATTGTCTTTCTAGAAGAAACTAGAAGTCATTTCTTCCTATAAATCAGAAATGATAGCAATACCTTTATCAATACAAGTTTATGAGCACTATGAGTTGTTCCAGATCTCCTATGGTTGTTCTTTGCTTGTTTTGATTCATTTTTTACTGTTTATTTTTAAAGTATCTTAGAGTTACAAAAACATTGTAAAGATAGTACAGAGAGTCCCTTTCACCCACCTTCCCCTAATATTAACATCTTACATAACATTTATCAAAAGTAAGACATTAACATTTGTACAACACTATTAACTATACTAAGGATTTTATTCAAATTTCCCCAGTTTTTCTACTTAATGTCTTTTTGCCTTCCAGGATCCAGGATTCCAGGTTGCAATTAAGTTGTCATGTCCCCTTAATCACCTCCAATCTGTCATAGTTCCTCAGTCTTTTCTTTGTTTTTCATCACCCTGACAGTTGTGAAAAGTACTGGGCAGGTATTTTACAGAATGTTGCTCCATTTGGGCTTGTCTGATATATTCTCATAATTAAATGAAGGTTATTAATTTGGGGGAAAGAACACGACAGAGGTGACATACCCTCCCATCCTACTATATCAGGGGTACATGATATCAACACGTCTTACTACTGATGATAATAACCTCGATCATTTAGTTAAGGTGGTATCTGCCAGATTTCTCACTGTAAAGCTACTATTTCTCCCCTTCTATTTACTGTTCTTTAAAGCAAGTGATTAAGTCCAGCCCACACTCAAGAAGAAGAAAATTAAGGAGGAAGGAACGTCAAACAATTTGTGGACATATGCTAAAACCTTCACAGTAAATACTAAGTACTAATTAGTATTTATTATGAATAGTAATAAATAGTAATTAACATTAATATTTGCAGGTAGATAATTAATATTTTGGAGGCTGTGCAGAAATCCTGTTTTCTTTAAAGTTTCACCCATTAATTTTAGCATTTATCAGTGGATCCTGCCTGCAGAAATTATTACTGTAGTATTCTAATGATGAATGTCTATTTTCCTCATACCTTCTCTATTTATTAATGAAAAGTCTTCTACAAGGAAGAACTGTCCCCTCATCCCAATTTATTTTGTTTGTGTGTGTATGAGAGAGAGAAAGAGGGATATGTGTGTATAAATGGGTTAGTACACATACATACTAGCTCTGTCTGCTGAGAAGGCCTAGAGGCATTGACATCCGAGCAGCAATGAGCACACCCAGTGCCAAGATCTTGTTTTCTAAATACCTTTTTCCACTAAAAGGAACCAGGACTCCTTAGAGAAATGGCAGATTCTAAGGCAGGGGCAAGGAAAACATAAGATGAACCTAGAAAATCTTATAGTGTCAAAAAGTAGTGTTAAAAAAAGAAAATAAAGGGGCCGGCCCGGTGGCGCATGCATTGACATCCGAGCAGCAATGAGCACACCCAGTGCCAAGATCTTGTTTTCTAAATACCTTTTTCCACTAAAAGGAACCAGGACTCCTTAGAGAAATGGCAGATTCTAAGGCAGGGGCAAGGAAAACATAAGATGAACCTAGAAAATCTTATAGTGTCAAAAAGTAGTGTTAAAAAAAGAAAATAAAAAGATAGGGCATGTCAAAAGAACATGTGAGCAAACCTTTAAGGGTTCACCATGGCCAGAGGTGGAACAAGTTTGAAAAAAAAAAATGACAGCATTGGATTATAATCTATGGTTTTTAACATATACATCAAGAGCAAATGAGAACTCACAATATGAAAACCAAAGTCCAATTCTCCTTGGGTTTGGACTACACAGGTTAGCAGGTCATGCTTTTTCTAAGGCATGTAATAGGTACCTGTCAAAACTAAACACTAGACTCTATCACTGATTCTGTACATCAAATAACCACAAACTACCCCCAGCTAGAGCAAGTGTACTTCCTTTTGATAAAGCCAATATGCAAAACTGTGATTGATACAACAAAAACAAAACCCTGCCTCTAATCTTGCCCCCATACACAAACATTTTAAAAATAAAGTAATACCAATTCAGTGGTATTTTAGTAAAGACCTTTACTTATGGGTTTTTTAAAGGTTCTAATTAACCACTCTTAAAGTTAATAGCAAAGAACATATATTGTTTCTGGAATAAAACAAATGATTACACTTACAGTAATGAAGGCTACCATCTACTGAACATTTACCATGGGCCCCACCTTGCCGGCTTTCTGTTCATTCTCTCATTCAGTCCTCAAGCACGTCAAGACAATCAAACCAAGATTCAGATGGATAAGGCATGTTCAGAGTGTCAGGGATCTGGCAGATGGCAGATCCAGGATATGCTTCCTCACCAGAAAACCACGTCCCTTTGGTAAACCCACATTCTCCCAAGGGACTGAGGAGATATGAGAAGGAACTTCTCTAGATAAATTGAGCATTCTCCACCCCCCCAAAGAACTGTTCCTTAGAACCTTCTAATCTTCTTTGGTGGAAACTTTCTAAAATGTGTTACAGATATCTCTGCCTTCCTGAAGACGTATCTGTGACCAAAGGGATCTTTCCTTGGCAGCCAACTCAACAGAGTGAATGCGACTGTGCATTACTCTGACACAGTAATAATCTTGGAAGTGCCTAAGTCTGTAGCTATTTGTCCAGTCCATTTTTATATTTAGCTCTTCACCAAAGTAACATCTGGCATGTCCCATTGTTGTCTACAAGTACATTGACCCCTGAAACTGACAGGGGACACCTGACAAGAATTCTGGTCCTCTCCCTAAGGTGGAAATGCATCACATCTTGCTTTCAAAGTCCTTTATTGGCTACTTTGGGTTTGTGGTAGCTTTCTCAAAGGTGGCTGTTTAAGGAAGTCTGCTCTTTAGATAGGGGATAATCAGTACACCATGTGTATTAGTCCACTTGTGTTGCTATAACAGAAATACCTGAGACTGGGTAATTATAAAGAACAGAGGTTTATTTGGCTGACAATTCTGGGACAGCTGCATCTGGCACAGGCCTCAAGCTGCTTCTACTCATGGCAGAAAGCAGTAGGCAGCCGACAGATACAAGCAGATCACATGGCCAAAGGAAGCAAGAGAGAGAGGGGAGGTGCCAGGGTCTTTTAAACAACCAGCTCTCATGGGAACTAACAGAGCAAGATCTCACTCAGGCCCCCCTTCCCCAAGGAGAGCATCGATCCATTCATAAGGGATCTGCCACATGAGTTTTGGAGGTGACAACACATCCAAACTCCATCACCGTGTATCAAATTCTTTCTCCTGAGTAGTTGAAAGGTAAAGATGAAGTTGGGGGAAAAGATAAAGAAATACAGAGAATGGGGAACACACAGAGGAAGAAGTGTTAAAGAAGAAAAGCAGAAGACCCAGTAGCTTCAGTATCGGCAGTGGTAGGTAAATTGTCACACGCTTTGTGCAGTGAAGGATGAGGATTCTCCCTCATAAAAATTTAGATTCTAATCTGTCTCTGCCCACCTAGTGAGCTAGAGTGACAACTGTCAAATTACTTCAGGTCTTTAAGCAACTCTCCTCCTGTGTAAAACTGGGATGATAACTACCTGTCTGGATGTTGTGAGGATGAAATTACTATTCTCAATACCTGCTATGGTTTGAATTTTGTCCCCCAAAGTCCGTGTATTAGAAACCTAATCCCTGCTGCAACAGTGTTAAGAGGGTGGGAAATCCTATTACGGTAACTGAAAGACGGGGCCTTGAAGAGGTGATTAGATTATGAGGACCATGTCCTAGTGAATGGATTAATCCATTGCTGGTTTAATGGTGGTCATGGGCGTGGTTCTGGTGGCTTTAAAAGGAGAACAAGTGAGGAGGTTAGTTTCTTTCTTGCTGAAGCCATACTGACCATGTGATGCTCTGCATTGCTGTACAACCGCACCAACAAAGCCCTCACCAGATGTGTTCTCTAGACTTTGGACTTCCCAGCCTCAGAAACAGTAAGCAATAAATATTGTTTCTTAAGGAATCACCAGTTTCAGATATTTGTGTTACAAGAAACATAAACAGACTAATACAATACCCTTTGACATGATTAACTGTCCCATACTCTTTTTCCAATCTGAGAAACAATTGTTTGCACTAAGAGTTTGAAATCAAGGTTTATACCTCAAGATAATTCAGAAGGCTCTGCATCAATATGGGGGAATTAACTTTTTTAAAAAAATACTATGGACATTTGGAGGCTTCAATTCCTTTGATATTAAAAAAAAAAGGTTGGGCTTCAAACCTGTTTATTGAAAAGTTTAACAGTTACAATGAAGTCACCATTTACTGCATTATTCTCATAGTTTCCTAATCACGTCCAGTTTTTGACTCGTTAGTGTGATGCATGTTAAGCTGACAAACTCCAAGATTTTAAGAGGCTGCTCTGAAGGAAAAAGCCACAGCAGTCCTCCACGGGAACAGTCTAAAGCTATAGTTCCCCTCTCCACAAACGGCAGCTGATCACTCCCAGAGAATATATTTCTCCATCCCTACTTGGAAATTATTTTTCAATACAGTAGTATTTTAATTGATTCACAATTAATAAATTGCAAGGGCCGCTAGCATATTTAGACTAAGGTTTTATTTATAGGAATCCAACACACACACACACACACACACACACACACACAACTTTTAGGAACATATACACTGTTTAAAGTAAGGCAAACTTTTTACAACTTAAATTTCTTGTGGCCATTAATCATTGATATTTACAGTAAACCTGGACATGAGTAAACTCCAGTATGATAAACATAACATCAGCCCATAATCCTTACTGTCCAAAGAAATCTGATTGTATCTTACATATCATTGAGTACAATCTTCCCACCAATATTGAGTTGCCCGTATTGACTTAAACCTGTATCTGTATTTAGTCTTAAATATGGCTCTGACTGCCTACCTTTCAAAGTGCTGTTTCATTTGTTTACATGCATAGAAGTTTCCATCTCTCAGGCTCTGCATCTTCATAACTTCAGAAAACGTTCCCTCTCCTATTTTGCCAATTGCTTTATAGTCTATAAATAAAAATAATTATAAAAATTAAAATGTATGCATAAATTTTGTATTCATTTAGCAAACTATTTATCTGTAAGATAATTTAATAGCAAAATATTGAGGATTGTTTCCCTATTTTTTGTGAGGTTTAGTGTTCCCCTCACTCTAGGAGAAGCTGGGTTGTGTGTTGGTAACAAAGCACCATTTCCTCCCAGTCTATGCTTTCCCTTGTATAGTAGGAACAATGTTACCTGAATCCTGGTCAGCAATGAGGCTCAGCTACTCCACAAGATCCACAAAGCAGAAGAGCTGCAGAGGCTGGGCAGGAGTGGGCAGGAACAGGGGCTTTAGCATTGGGCAGATGTCATATTACACCAGCAGCCTCTGGGCATTTTCCTGAAATTCAGCCTCCTGGTCCTACAGAGGGCCCAGCTGGTCTGCAGCAGTTTCCTGCAACTCTTGCATTTTCGCATTTTCTGAAAGCCGACAGCAGCTTTCCCTGACTTTGTGGCCACTACCATCACCCCCAGCCCTGATAATGGTTTTGTAAGCCTGTAATTCACTATTTCAGGTGCTTTCCTGCTTGAAATACCTAGAGGAGTTTCTGTTTTCCAGACTGAACCCTGACCAACACCAAATGAGTTCCCTGAAGTGGGGTGCTGCTATGAACAAAAACCCAAAATATGTGCCTTTGGCTTAGTAGTCAAATAGCAGATAGCAGGCTGTACCGCTGGAAAGCCTGGTATATCATGACAATGAATGGCTGTCTACAGTAACTGCTGCCTTTCACAGACCAAGTGGCCTAGGAAAAGTGGTGGGAAGAGTCAGAGTGATGGAGTGTGTTGAATAAGATATTTCAAGACAAAGATAAGCACAAGCAAGAACTGCCACTTTTCAAGCAGAAATGGAAGGAATGAGAGAAGTTCAGAGAGCAAAAGTCTCGCAGCGTTAGAAAAGTTTCTACAGCCCAAGTAATAGGAGAATAATGCTACAAAAAACCTTGGCAGAGAGCAGTCTATGAGACATTCAGTTTAACAAATGGCTCAGCTTTGATTCAAAGAGCACAGGAAGGCTGTTACTGCCCCTCCCTCCAGGCATCTGTTGCAGAGCCTCAAGGAAGCTCCCGTAAATTGAGACAGGGAAGCATAAGAGCAAGGCCACAAAGAAATAAGGCTGAATTGAGAACTAGGTCTAGAAGAGAACCTTGACCGTGGAACTGACCAGAAGCAAACAGATCAGAAGCCTATTAAACTACAGTCGCACTGCTGCAGAAACAAGCCTGTACTAATAAAGCCCTCCATCTTCGGGCCTCAAACCTGCATGAGCACAAAGCAGGCTTTCAAAATTGTGCAGCACTGAAGGAAGGTATCCTCTTCAATTCTCCTTTACCTATGCATATTTTGAATACCTTGTCTGAATTCTGATTTGAACAAATCAACAGTAAAAAGGTACTAATTTGGTGGAAGTGATAATAGTTATGTTAAAAAGTGAAAAAGTCCTTATCTGGGGCCAGCCCGGTGGCGCACTGGATAGTGCGCCGCTTGGGAAGCGCGGCGGCGCTCCCGCCCGAGGGTTCGGATCCCACATACAGACCGGCTCCCGCTCACTGGCTGAGCGAGGCGTGGGAGCAACACCGAGGTTTGCAATCCCGTTGC